AATCCAGAACTTTGGTTTACCTTAGCTGTTTACGAAGTCAGAGCAGGGATATTTATATCTTTTTTAAGGGTTGTTGCAACTCTGTGAACTGGGGTGGGGGAAGTATTTTCTAATCCAAGTATCAATATCCTTTACAACAGGCCACTGGGCATTTCTATTGAGTAGCATTCAGGGTGTGTGACTCTACAACAGATTCTAGGCCATGGGCACATGGGGGGATCATCTTTTCCCAGTATGCATTGTGATGCTTGAGCAGATGTATCTGTCCGTTTGATATTGTGACACAGCACCATCATCCATAAAGTTCACACTCAAGGATGACATAATTAACTTACCCCAAAAGAAATAATTGTCAAAAAAGACTTAGAGTGTTCTAAGTAAGTTTACTATTTTATGTTGGAGCACATTCATAGCTATCCTTGGCTGCATGTGGCCCTCAGGCTGTAAGTCAAACATACCTACTTGAAAGGAACCATGTAGTGGAGACATATCCAGAGGGAAGAAAACCCAGATGTTTTGGGGTGTGCCTACAAACAGGAAATCACTTGTCCCCACTGTGCCCCGTCCTCCCCTGATTTGTGTGGTTGCGACAGTGTTCCTTTTCTTTCTTTTTTCTTTTCTTCTTCTTTGTCGTTGTTGGTTGATTGGTTGGTTTGGTTTTGTTTTTATTTCAGAACATATGCTTACGCTGTGGGAACAGATGCAGGAGGGTGCCTAGCACAGTGCTGGGTATACAATAGGTGCTTAATAAACATTTGTTCAATAAAAAAAAGAAACAATGATATCTCAGGCAAATGAACAGAACTAGGAAAAAAACATCCTAAGGGAGGTAACTCAAATCCAGAAAGACAAATATAGTATATATTCACTCATAAGTGGATACCAGACATAAAGCAAAAGATATCCAGCTTACAGTCGCTAACCCCAGAGAAGCTTGAGCCCTCTTCCAGAAAGATGGAAGCAGATGCAGAAATCCACAACTTTTAGAGTACAATTGAAGTGAGGGAGGGACAATAATATGAATAAAGAAGTCAAGACCATGATGGGGAAACCCACAGAATCAGCTGACCTGAGCTAGTGAGAGATCACTGACTCAGGTCTGACAAATGGGGAACCTGCATAAGACTGAACTAGACTCCCTTAATATAGGTGACAATGGTGCGGCTAGGGCAATATATGAGGCCACTGGCGAGGCAATGGGTCCAAGATCTAACACTAATGCACAAATTGACTTAGTGGAGCCCATGCTATATGGAAAAATCCCTTCCCCAGCCTAGACACAGGGGTGGAGAGGTGCCTTGGTCCTGCCTCAATGAGATGATAGGACAGTCTTAGTAGACTTCCTAGGGAAGGCCTTACACTCTCTGTGGGGCAGATGGGAAAAAGAGGGGAGTGGGAGGAGAGGAGGGAGGGGGAACTGGGACTGGAATGTAAAAAAATAATAAAAAAAGACCAAAAATAAAATAAAAGGATCAAGCCAGTAAGCAGCATTCCTCCATGGCCTCTGTACCAGCTCGTCTCCAGGTTCCTGCCCTGTTTGAGTTCCTACCCTGACTGCCTTTGGTGTTGACCAGAGATGTGGAAGACTGCTTCCAGTTGTTCACTGCAACTAATCAAAGTTCAAGATCCCCAGCTTCCACTCCAACATCAACACTGGACCCTCACTGAGACTACTTTCTGCTGTCCTGCTGTTGCCTGGAGTCATTGAGATCCTGCAGTTACGGTTCTGCTAGCTCTCCCACACTATGGCTGGTGTAAAGTAAGGTAGAATATCATGATGCTGGCTGTAGGAGGATGAGAAGGCTGTTTACCATGCAATGAACAGGAAGTAGGAAAGGACTCAGGACCAGTTATAACTGTAGAGGCATACCCTTAAGGACCTCCTTCCTCAAGCCCTGTCTTGGAAATAGCATTATTTGCTAGAGAGCAAGTATTCAGCATTTGAGCCTGTGGGTAACATGACCTGTTCAGACTGTAAAAATAGGCAAAAATTGTAACAATCAATTGTTATAATTGTACAAAAATTATTGTAACAATCAATTGTACAGTTTTCAGATTTACTATAATGAAATACAAGGTCCTCGTCATATAAGATTTTGGTGGTAATTACAACTGAGTATTGAATGATTAAAAAGTATTGTTAATTCTCAAAAAAAGAAATACTAAAACATAAAAACATTTGTATTTGGCTGGGCGTTGGTGGCGCATGCCTTTAATCACAGCACTCGAGAGGCAGAGGCAGGTGGATCTCTGAGTTTGAGACCAGCCTGGTCTACAAGAGTGAGTCCTAGGACAGCCTTCAAAGCCACAGAGAAACCCATTTCGAACCCCCCCCCAATAAAATATTTGTATTTATTTGTGTGTGTGGATATGTGCACATGCCTGCAGTGGTCTGCAGATGTCTTTTTTCTTCCTTCTTTCAGTTTGTCTCCTCTCCACTTCTTATAGCTGAGGACCAAACTCAGGGCCTTTCTTGCTAGGCAAGCACTCTACCACTGAATAAATCCCTAACCCCCACTTAAATTTCTTTTGCAAAAAGATGTTAGTTCTGTTTTATTTTCTGGTATGGCAGACAGACAAAGCATACTCTGTATCTTTGTTCACTACAGGCCTAGGACATTGTGGTTAAACGTAAAACTTTTCCTTTTTCTTGATTTCAGACACACCAGGAAGGGCCTGTACTTTATACTTTATTGGCTTTTAAATTTCTCTACTGGGGGAGAATCATGAACTCGTCTTATCATATATACACTCAGAGGTATGCAGTAGTAAGGACAACTGCAAGTTAGTTACTTTGCAGATAATATCCCATTTATCCCTCATGGGCATGGTTTACCACATGGGAAACTGAGGCCATATAAATTGGATAATTTTCCCCCGGCCTCCCTGCTTGTGAATGGCTAGGGCAGGACTTGCTTAAGTAGGTGTTCTGGCAATCTTGACTTCTGTACTGTACTCCAGGTGACTCTTTCTGCTGCATCTTACATATGGGAGTCATATTACTTGAGGACTGATCAGCAGACACCTTCAGTTGGACACATTCCCCACAGACACAGTCAGCTTGGTTTGTACAGTTTTTGCAAAGATTTCAATCATGAGAGAGGGTAACATCTGAGGGATGTTTCCTAGAGATAGGGGATAGGAGGGGGGCAGCCCTCCCTGACTCATGGAAAACAAGGGCTGATCTAAAGAGCTTCCTGAGGAGTATTCAGAATGAAACTATGAGGACACTGTTAATGTCTCTTCTTCATTCTGAAAATGCCTGAGGCTGAAAAACTTTTGTTTTGGTCTCAGTGCTAGATACAGATTCGCCAGTGCACACTCCTGTGAAGGCTACAGTTCTCAGAGGAATCTTCATTATCAAAAACATGAATTACTACCTCTTTAAGAATAAAGTAAAACAGAAATCATGTGACTGGCTCAGATTCTAACTCTAACCCTGAATCTTGAGAGAATTTATAAAGCCTCTTCAGTTCCTACTACCAATTCCACAAACAAACCACAGTATTTTTCCATTTGGACTTTACCTGTGCTTGAATACTTCCCCTTTTACAATATCTGGCTAACTTCTGTAATGCTTCAATCCATACCCCACCTTTTTCAGAAGGCTCCAGATCATTTCCTATCCCCAAAAGAAGTGATCTTTGTAGATTGTGCCTCATCCCAATACCTCTGTTGGCCTGGTTTTCTTATAAGTAGTGTACCTGCCCTTGTTTGGTTTTTGTGGTATTAGGGATTGAACTCGGAATGCCACACTCATTATGTAAGCACCCTACAAATGAACCATATCCCAAGTCCCCTCAGTCAGAATTTTATTACTCCTATAATAGAATTATAAATAAAATCCAAGAGATGGCTAATTTCATACAATTTCTCAAATATGTAGTGTAGGAAGATGGTTCAGTAAGAAGAACATTTGCTATTAAAGCAAGAGGACTTTTATACTCACATAAAAGCCCAATATGACTTCTTGCCTATAACCCCAGCATCAGGATATGGAGACAAAGAGTTTGGTGGCCAGTCAATGTACTACATACACACATGCACACACATACACAATACATATATAATGCACACAAATGTGTAGCATAAAATAATTAGGTAATTTACATTTCAAAAAGATGGTGTAATATACATTATTTCCTACCATAGGAAAATTACTGTACATTTACAGACTTTTGTTTTATTGGGAAAAGGTTGACTTTCTCTTGAAATACACACTCACACTCACTACTTGAATGCATTTTAAATTATTATCTTCTTAATCCAATATTCTTGTGTGTATGTTTTTGTGTGTGTTTGTGTGTAGTAGATGTAGGTGTTGTGTGTGAGTGTGCATGTGAGTGCCAGAGGTTGATATCGAGTGTGTCTTCAGTGTGTTCCATCTTATTGTTTGAGACAGGGTCTCTCCCTGAATATGGACATGGCTGTTTTGGCTAGAGTAGCTGTCTGGCAAACCCCTCAGGATCTTTTGGTCTTTACTCCTCTACATATACACCTAAGCATTGAGGCTGCAAAATCTAGCTTTTAAGAGAGGTTCCCAGGTATCCTGGGTTAACCTTGATTTTATTATGTAGTGAAATCCACGAATTCCTGATCCTCTTGTCTCTAACTTCCAAGTGCTGGGAATTTCAGATATACACAATCAATCCTGGCTTTTAATGTGGTTTCTAGGGATCCAAACGTAGGTCCTCATGGCTACACAGCATTTGATGACTGTACCATTTTCCTAGCCCCATTACTGATGTACTCTCTTTCTTGAATTACTATTTATTTTGTCCATGCACATAAAAAAGAACTTCTGACTTCCAGAGAGTAAAGGGATTCCATTTCTTTTATATATTTTATGTTCACTGATCCCAGTATCTATGGGCTTCTATAACGCAGAGTCTGTATACTGAATTGTGTATTAAAACACCTTTCTAAATGAATGTCTAACTATGACACATATCATATTCTTACATGATTAATGTATATAATTGTCTTAATTTTTTCCCTAGATTTGTCTATACCTATTTGAGTGAAAAACCATTTGAAGAATACCAAGACAGTAAATACTTCCGTCGATTTTTACAATGGAAATGGCTAGAAAGGTAGGTTTTAATTTAATACTAAATAAAAGTAACTTTTCACAATTCATACTATTTGATGTTCAGTTCAGTTTTCTACCTGTCACAATGCTACTGGAAATCTTGGGTTGTATGTACTTATTTTACATGGAAATCTTTAGAATGTTATATAAGTTCTGATTCAGTGGACCCTGTTCTCTTTCTTTAAAATGACAGTTAACTCTCATGGTACATTTAGAAAATAAAACATACAGTAATGCAATGCAGTTGTTGAAACTTTGCATTCTAAGCCTCTGTTCGAATTCTTGCTAGCTGTGAAGCATTAGGCAAGTAACTTAACCACTATGAGCTATAGATCCTTTTTCTATATAGAGAAACTTAGAAACCAAGACTATGTCAGCTCTTATAAAGGAAAACATTTAATTATTTAATTGGGGCTGGCTTACAGTTCAGAGGTTTAGTCCATTATTGTCATGGTGGGAAGCATGGCAGCATGCAGGCAGACATGGTGCTGGAGAGGTAGCTGAGAGTGCTATATCTGGATCATCAGGCAGCAGGGACAGAGTGTGACACTGGGCCTGAAATTCCAAAACCTACTCCGAGTAACATACTTTCTTTACAAGGCCACACCTATTCCAACAAGGCCATACCTTCCAATAGTACCACTCCCTATGAACCTGTGTGTGATGATATATTATTTATGATTTATTAAAGCTTGCCTGAGGGTACAGAAAGCCAAGCTAGTCACAAGCCATAGAGCCAGGCAACGGTAATACATGCCTTTAATCCCAGCAGCCATACCAGCTAGCCATAGAGCCAGGCAGTGGTGGGTATACACCTTTAATCTCAGGACTCAAGACACAAGCAGATGGATCTCTGTTAGTTCAAGGTCACAGTGAGCTACATGAAATTGATCCAGTTTAAAAGAGAAAACAGCTCACGAAAATGTGATCTCAGCACTTGGGAACACATGCCTTTAATCCCAGCATTTGTATATAAGATAGGAGCAGATATTCAGTCTGGGGCATTTTGGTTTCCAGTCACATTGAGGCATTTTGGTCTCCCGCCACATTTAGAGAATTAGTTTCCAGCCACTTTGAGGAGAGCATAGCAGTCTGCATTGCAATCTGAAGCTTGGTGGAGACAGGATTGTAGTCTGAGGTTTGGTGGAGAGATTTATTCTCCAGCCCTGTTTAGGAGAGGACATCCCTGTCATCCTGAGGTAGAGGTAAGAAGCTAGTGGCCAGCTACTTTGCTTTTCTGATCTTCAGCTTGAAGCTTGAACCCCAATACCAGTCTCTGGGTCTTTTATTATTTGTGCTCTACCTGTTGGGGCCATTTAATTCAAACCACTACAATACTCTATGCTACTTCACTCTTGCTGGGAGATGCATGTAAAATGCGTAGCTCAGTGTTTGGTGAACAAAAAAACTGCCACAAAAGTATCAGCTGCTATTATTACTATTGTGATTATTATTTCTAAAACAACTATTTCTAAAACTAATAGTTGATATGCACCCTCCCCTTTTGAGATCAAGTTTCATTATGTTGTCTTGTTGGCTTCGAACTTGCTATGTTGACCAGGCTGGCCTTAAACAGAGATCTGCTTGCCTCTGTCTCCTGAGTACTGGGATTAAAGGTATGTGCCACCATACCTAGCGTGCGTGCATATATATATTAAGAATACCAAGAATGTGAAGAATACCAAATATATATGCATGCATGCTGAATGTGGTGGCAATAAAGGTTATATTTGAGGTACTTTACTTAAAGGAAAGTGTTCTATGTTTATGTAGTTTTCCTCAGCAGCCTTTTGACAAGTTGTAAAGTATGCCAAAGATTGATCTATAGGCTGTAAATGCACATATTTCCTAGAATGGGCTGCTTGTATACTCATGTTAAATTAGAGAGGCTAATTGAGATGTTCTATATTTTGTGTCAGTGACTTTAATAACTTTTAAGTGTGCTTGTTTCTCTGAGTAAAAAGTTGAGAGCTGTGAGTCCTGATTATAGACACCTTTGTCTCTGACACTGTTTTAGGTGACATGGGCCAACAGATAAGACTTACACCCACTCTAGGTAGGCTTTTCTATTTTAAAGTAACAGTGCAATGTCAGATCTGATTTTTTTTTTTTTTTCAATTGGTTAGGCGGCCAGTAACAAAGAACACATTCAGACATTACAGAGTTCTAGGAAAAGGCGGATTTGGAGAGGTGAGTAACCTGTGCAAGTTATGGCAGTACTTCTGTTAGAAAGGTAGCCAGTCATCAGCACACATGAGCTCAGTAATGTATCAATTTTGCCAATACACTTATCTCCTTATTGTGCATTTTGAGAATACTTTCAGGCAACTTGAAATGAAGGTGGATCTTTGAGCAAAAGTTACTTCTGCTTTAAGCTTTAAAACAATAACAACTACGAATACCTCTTATCTTTGTGACCTTACCTTCCGTTTTCCATTCTGACAGAGCTATTTTTTCATGCTTGATGTTTAAGTTAAGCGGTGTGTCCAGACTGAAAAACTTGTTAAATTTCTGTTATTCAGTACGAGCTCTAAAATTTATGTTTCATAGAATACTATTTATTTATTGTACTATTTATTTTTGAAGAGATGAAGTTTCACTAACTTACGCAAGATGGCTTTAAACTCCTGGGCTCAAGAGCTCCTGTTGCCTCAGCAAGCTGGGACCACAATTACAAGCCATTGTAGCTAACCAGGGAACATTGTCAAATATGCTTATTTAACTAATTTGTGTTTAGACATTGTCCTAGTTTGCTTTCTGCTGCCTTGATAAAACACTCTGACAAAAAAGACTTTAGGGAGGAAAGGGTTTGTTTGTCTTAAACTTTTAAGTCTCAGACTACTATCAGGGAATGCCACAGCATGAATTCAAGGCAGAAATATGAAGCAGCACCATGGATGAATGCAGTTACTAGCTTCCTTCATCTGATCCATGCTCAGCCAGCTTTCTTACACAGCCCAGGCCCATCTGCCCAGGGGTGGGACTGCCTATAGTGGCTGCACCCTCTTCTGTCAACTAACAATCAAGAAGATAACCCACAGACATGCCCCAGGGCAATCTGAAAGGGATATTCCTCAATTGAAATTCCCTATTCCAAGTTCTAGGTTGTGTCAAGTTGATGATAAAAACTAACCAGTATTGGTAAATTTATCTTATACCTGCATTAAAAGGTATCCAGGGCCTCTTGTGATGTTGTGTACCTCTAATTGGGAGTTAGGAAGACAGTAAGTTTTAGACTAGCTTGGATTATGTGTGAGACCCTGAGAAAAAAAGTGTTTAGATATAGGGACATAGAACACAGTACAGTACTAGCCTTCCATGTATAGAGCCTTGAGTATGATACCCAACACCTTAAAAAAAGTATTTTAAAATGTGTAAATTCAGAAGATCCTAGGGAAACTTCACACAGATTCTTGAGGGATAGGTTTTAAATATGATGACTGTTCTGGATAGAGATCACTTGTAGCAGGTAGATAGGGAATAGTGATGTGATAATTCAAAGAGATATTAATTACCCTATTAATTATCTGGAGTGATCATATTCAGCCTATGAATTTCCAAGTCCCCATGAGACAGGCAAGCCATTGGGAACTAACACTTTTTAAAATCAGAAGCAGGTTATATTGCTCAGATGTGATTTAAATCATACATGCACTCAAATTCTACTTTAAAACAAAAGCAGAATCCACCAGCATTGCTCAAAATTAATTTAATTCAGAGTTACTGTGCTCAAGTGAACTCTGTCAGCCATTTGCATGTTGAGGTGAAGGAAGTGGGCCAGAACTGCTATCACTTTGTTTAGGAAATGTACCCTGACACAGCTGAAGACTTTCACAACTTAGCGCTTTGCATGTGGCCAATTCACCCAACACTGTTGTATGCCCTTCATGGGGATGGTCTGTAAGGAGCCATTCCTCTGTGGAATGTGTCCTAGTCCAGAGACTCTTCTCTCTTCAGCTCATGCTGTTCTTGATCTCCAGGCACAAAGCTTTAGATTTTGGCAAGGAGCAGAGGAAAAGACTTTTTAGGTTGCTGGGTCTCATGTTTATAAGAAATGAAATTCAGCCAGGTGTTGGTGGCGCACGCCTTTAATCCCAGCACTTGGGAGGCAGAGGCAGGCAGATCTCTGTGAGTTCGAGGCCAGCCTGGTCTCCAGAGCGAGTGCCAGGATAGGCTCCAAAGCTACACAGAGAAACTCTGTCTTGAAAAACCAAAAAAAAAAAAAAAAAAAAAAAAAAAAAAGAAAGAAATTCTGCTTCTAATTAAATATATGATGAATGAGCAAATTTTAGTCATTGTGAAAAACATGTAAATTATATTTGAATACATTTACTGGAGTTTTCAAACAAATGATTAGATGGATGAATTAACTGTGGTAGCTCTTTGCAGACTTTTGTGGGTCTGTTAGGCTCTCAGTTAAGGCCCAGAAGACAATGAACAGTCTGTTTCTACTCTGCATGTCTGTCAGATGGAGCCTTACTAAGTCATTACAGGGACAGTTACATTTTCCCTTATGTTGCCAATAGTAATTCTCTTGCTTATGCTTTAAGTGCTGTAAGTCAATCTCCAGCTTTCTGAGGCAAGCACAGTGGGAAACCATCTGGATTCATGACTGGTTCCAAAAGTAGCACAGTGTGGTGAGAAGAACATGTACTTCACAGCTGTGCAAACCCAAGGTCAAGACCTGCTAGCCATTTCTAGTTGTGTGATCTTGGGTCAGCATCTTGACTTCATCTTTGGCAGTAGAGTGATGGTCCTGCTTTAGCTTCCTGAGGCTTATTGGCCAAAGTGCCTAGCCTTGAACTTTTTGATTAAAAAAAAATCTGGATTATTCAAATTTTATATTCTAAAATTTTTGCTTTCATAAGAATCTAAAGCCCTATCAGGACATACTTAAATAGACTCAGCTTGATCACATAATCACAAAAACCCAGTTCCATTTGCATCTTGATAAAGCACACTGTTTCATTCCCTTTACTCCAAGCAGCTACTATTGACAAGAAACTGGGAGTCAGAGGAAGATGCAGCTGAAAACTTCCAGTTATCATTACCCAAATGGCCTTGGCTTATCACATGCTGAGTTCAGATATATATATATTCATTTCTCTTTCTCCCCCCCCAACTAGGTTTGTGCCTGTCAAGTACGAGCTACAGGAAAAATGTATGCCTGCAAAAAACTAGAAAAAAAAAGAATAAAGAGGAGGAAAAGTGAAGGAATGGCTCTGAATGAAAAAAGAATCTTAGAAAAATTGCATAGTAGATTTGTAGTAAGTATCTTATTTTTGTCATGGTATCATTACTTTTCTTGTTGCTGTGATAAAATACTTGTCCAAGGCGAGGTGGAGATGATGGTGCATGCCTTTGATCCCAGCGCTTGGGAGGCAGAGACAGGTGGATCTCTGTGAGTTCAAGGACAGCCTGGTCTACAGAGTGAATTCCCAACAGCCAGGGCTACACAGAGAAGCCCTGTCTTGAGAAACAAACAAAAAAAATTGTGTCTAAAGAGTTTATTTTGGCTCACAGTTTGAGAAGGGATACAGTCTATCACATCAGACAAGGCATGGCATACAGAGTATACAGTGGCTGGCCACATTGCGTCTGTATCAGCAAACAGAGATATGAATGCTGGTGTCAGTATGGGACTCCAGGCCCTGGGATGGTACCCCCAATGTTCATAGTAGGTCTTCCCTCAGTTAAACCTTTCTGGAAACACACTCCCAGATGTAGGGGAAGCTGTAGCCACGCCTTCTTAGGGGCTGGCTACAAGAGTACCTGAGGGCTTGTGAGGGCGTGGTCAGAGTAAGTAGGGGGACTGCGTTTTCGGTTTCGGTTTCTCTTTGCTTCTTGCTGTACAGACTACCACCGGCTGGCTGGTTCGCTCTGTAAGTAAGGCTTTTCCCTATTAAATACCCTTATATTTCTACCTGACTCCGTATTGGTAATTTCTTACTATACCCAGACAGAGAGGTTTGTTCCTAGGTGATTCTAAATCCTGTCAAGGTGATAAAACTTAACCATCACAATCTTGTACATTGTTTGACTCAGCATTTTGGTCAGCAGTCCTGATGTAAACTCTCATTCAAGTCATGGACTCAGGTGCTGTGTTTCTTCACTGAGTTTTGTGGAGTTTTGCTATCCACTATTGGAAATAATTTTATTTTGCAATGATGTCCCTCTTACTCTATCGTGACAAGCATAAGGCAATGCTGATCCTGCTGTTGATTTGTGACTTGTTACCAGTTTTATGCTGTCCACCATCCCATGCTGTCAGGTTTTCCTCACATCTTTTATATTCATGATGAGTGCTTTTTCTTTCATGTGTTAGTTGCCTCCCGTTGTTCAGCTCTGTCCTATCAGCATGGTGACTTTGAGGTACTTGAGGTTTCATTTTCTAGTCCTTCTAAAGTGAGCTTCCTCTTCTCTCTGATCTCTGTCTCTTTTCCATCCTTGGGTTTTTCTTTCTTCTTTTATTTTTATTTGTATTTTCTGCACCTGAAGTGTTTGCCACTGGAACTTCAACTACCATACTCCAATTGTAGGATCTTTCAAATTTTACCCTCACCATTGCAGATAAGACCTGAAGATGGAGTGGATTGATGTGAAACAAAGTAGTGTTCTCAGGCTGTAGGCTATGTGTTGTCTAGTGTGGTTTTCCTACTCCTATTTAGATATTCCTTGAAGCATCTTTTGAAGTATAAAAACTGGTTAAGACAGAAGATGATTGGGCAGTGGTGATGCACGCCTTTAATCCCAGCACTCAGGAGACAGAGGCAGGCGATAACTGTGAGTTCAAGGCCCGCCTGGTCTACAGAGCAAGTTCCAGGACAGCTAGGGCTGTTACACAGAGAAACCCTGTCTCAAAACTCACCCCCCACAAAATGACAGAAGATGAACAATGGTTATAAGATTATTCTTTGTTAAAAATTTATTTCCTTGAAGTCATTTACTTCTGGCTATCAAGGTTATCTGCTTTGTAGAGACAGATGTTCCAAACAAGCACCTCTTCATAGCCAGCATCTGTATGTAGTAGCATGAGCTATGTGTCTATTATGACAGTTTCACATGGAGTAAAGTGATACTTTTTAATAAAATATACTCATCTTAGAGCTATTTAAACAGTTGTACTACCTTGAAGCATAGAAACCTCAAATTTAGCTTTATGAGAGGTCCTGAGTTCAATTCCTGGCAACCACATGGTGGCTCACAACCACCTTGAATGAGATCTGGTGCTCTCTGCTGGCGTGCAGGCAAAAGACTATACATAATAAATAAGTAAAATCTTAAAAAAAAAAAAAAATCCAGGTCCCATCTATGATTAGGAGATCTAAGCAAGTCTGGAAAGATGGCTCTGCCATTAAAGGCTAAGCCTAGTCAACAGCTCTCAGCAAACTAGCTTTACTGTCTAGCCCACATCATCTATTGTGTGGTGCTATTGGAATGCCCGTCCCCATGGCTAGGACACTCACTCTCCCTATTTCTACCTAACAGTATATTGGAAATTCTAGCCAGTGTAAAATAGGATTAGAATTAGAGATAGAGAAAGAAGCAAAGGAGTAAAAAATTGTATTTTTGAATGACATAACTGTATGTGGAGACAATCTTAGACTTTCTAGATAATCAACCTAGGATTTAACTACATGACCACAGCAGTTAGGTGTGCATATGTGCATGTGTACATGTGTCTGTATGCCTGTATTTTTATCTGTACATGTGAGTATATACCAAATACACACCTATGTACATTCTTTTTGTTGTTGTTGTTTGTTTGTTTGTTTTGAGACAGGGTTTCTCTGTGTAGCTTTGGAGCCTGTCCTGGAACTCACTCTGTAGACCAGGCTGGCCTCCAACTCACAGAGATCCAACTACCTCTACTTCCCAAGGGCTGGGATTAAAGATAGCCAACTCTTATTTACATTCTTAGAGTCCAGAGTAGGATGTTTAACTTATTTTCTTGAGATAGAGTCTCTGAGCCTGGAATTTGCTGATTTGTTTATTATTTGTTGTTTTCCAGCTAGGCTAGCAGGTCAGCAAGCCTTATCAATCCTTCTTTCTCCCTTCCACCCTAGGACTGGGGTCGCAGGTATTCATGACTATGCCTCCCTCTGCCTCAAAAGTTCTGGCCTTAAAGTCGTGTGCCACCACCTCCAGGCATTAATAACATTTATAACAGCACCAAGAGCCATTACAGTCTAGGCAAAGGTCCTACAATACAAAAATATGCAGAATTTCTACATTTATTACTATAAGATGCTATTATAAGAAATTAAAGAGTGCCTTAACACAGAGGAACATGTTCTCAGACTAGGCGATTCAGTGTTGTGAAGATATTGGCTCTTCTCAGCTGTTGTAGAGATTAAATGAGTTAAGTATAATCACAACCCAAATCCCAGCAAGGTGAGTTCATGTGCCCATGTGTACATTTGTGTTTGAACTGTCATTCAAGACAATAGAAAGGTAAGGAAAAACTTACCAGGGTCTGGGAATGTAGCTATGTGGGAGAGGACTTGCCTGACAGATAAGAAGCACCAAGTCCAACTAACAGGAAGAGGAGGAAGAGGAGAAGTAATACTATTTTTGACCAGGTGCATCTGTAATCTCAACTACTCAGAAAACTGAGGCAAGAGGATCACTGATCCCAGAAGCTTAGGGCCAGTCTGGGCAAATCTCATTTCTTCAAAAAGCAAAGCAAAAAGCATAAAGGCATTTCACAAAAAGGCTGCAACTGACTAATAAATTTATGAAAAACAATTAAAACCAGAATTAAAGTTCAAGACTAATTTCATCTATATAATGAGTTAGAGACCAACCTAGGCTATATAGTGAAACCAGTCTTCCAAAACTAAGGATTTAGGATATGGCTCAGCATCTCAAAACAACAACAAATGACTCAATCATTTGTTGAAGCCATTATACCCTGACCATCCTGGCTCAAACCAAAAAGATCAACATCACTAAATGTTGGAGGAACGTGGAGCAACAAGATCTTGCCAGAATTTTACTGGAGGCAAGTGCTCCAGAAGTTCTTAGTGTCACACAGTCAGACCATAGTGTGGAGAAATCAGTATCCAACTACTCACTTTCCATACAGAGCTGTAGTGAGCTCTTTGCTAAGTAAAGGTCCAGAGTGTAGTGTGTAGTGTGTACTTCTCTGAAGCACATAGTGTTTTGGTATTCCAATTATAAACCTAACAATTCAGATTATTGTTAGCAAATAGAGTAAGTCAAGAGTGAACAAGCAGATTTTTTTGTGTGTGTGTGTATCACTTTTTTTATGATGCTGTTGTCTTTAGGTTAGTTTAGCCTACACTTATGAAACCAAGGATACCTTGTGTTTGGTGCTAACCATTATGAATGGAGGGGATTTGAAGTACCACATTTACAATCTGGGCAATCCTGGCTTTGAGGAGCCGAGAGCTGTGTTCTATGCTGCAGAGCTGTGTTGTGGCTTGGAAGATTTACAGAAGGAAAGAATTGTATACAGGTAAGAATGTGCGACCTGACAGAGCCTCTGAGTATTGAAGCCACTTCACCTGACTTCCATTGGGAGCTTCCTCTGGTTTGTGCTGTCATGGGTTGGGAAAGGGACAAGAGGGAGGCCTTGGGTGGCATTTGGAGGGGTGGGGGTTGTCCCTTAAACTGTAGGACACAGCCAGTCAATGTGTCTTGGTTTCTTCTTAGTTTATCTTACTTTTCTAAGAAATTATCCTTTTGAAGCAGAACCTTTTCCCTTAAGCTGATCAGATAAACAGTGCTATTTGTGTAAACATGAAAAAGCCTGTTTCCAGAATTCTGAGATGTTTGACAGCTCTGATAAAGACATTTGCAATATTCAAAAAAAAAAAAAAGCCCAACAGTGTACTAAAAAATGTTTTCTTGCCAGGTGATGGTAGCACATGCCTTTAATCCCAACACTTGGGAGACAGAGGCAGGTGGATCTCTGTTAGTTCAAGGCCAACCTGGCCTACAGAGCAAGTTCCAAGACAGCCAAATCTACACAGAAAAGCCCTGTCTTGAAACAAAAAAGTTTTCTTTTCATCTTAGAATTCATTAAGAAAATCATATTAAGCTTTGTAGTTAGAATTATCTTAGTACAATCAGTATATTTAAATTTTGAAAACAGTTTCTCTCTCTTAGATATTGGAGATGAATCTCATATTGATCACTCTCCCTGGGGACTTTTGTTTTCTCTTCCAGAGATTTACTTGCCAATCAATCCCTAGTGAAAATTTCTTTCCATTAAAAATATTTTTGCGCATGTGTGCATGTTTGCAGAAGCACATGCATGGAGGTTTGTGTGTCAGTTCTCACCTTTCAGCTTGTTTGAGACAAGGTCTTGCTATGATAGCTGGCCTGTGAGATTCTGGGGATTCTCTTGTCTGCTTCTCATCTCACCATAGGAACACTGGAATTATAAATGCTGCATCCCCTGGCTTTACATGGGTTTTGGGTACTTAAACCCAAGTCCTCATGCACAGCAAGTGTGTTTACCACTGATCCATCTCTCTAGCCTTCTAATGAGAATTCCTAACCTTGTGCCTTTTAAACAATATAGAAATTACAGAGTGATCTGTGTATCTCTTGCTCTCATCTTGTCCACTCAGTCATCACTTTGCTCTGTAATATCTCCATCAGTCTCTATTTTCGATGGTGAGCAGTTTAGTCCATGTCTTTCTCTTGTCAGTCAACAGACAGAGACTTGAATTGGTGTCTATACTGCCTGTGTTGCCCAGTGGTTTTTCCAGAAAATCCTGATAAGTCATGTTTGAATATAGCTTTGATCTTATTTCATCTTCCTCTGGTATGGGACCCTTGTTCACCAGGTGTTCAGACCCTTAAGTAGTTAGCTTCTTACTAACTTCTCCAGTCTTGTTTCCTGATGATCCACATTAATCTTCTCACTCCTTGTTATACAACCTTTGTGGCTTCCAGAACATCTAAGAAGTCTTAAAACTCCTGTCTTGGCAGTGCGCCCCTCTGTAGATGGCTTCTTCACTGCAACCCCTCTTCCCTCTGCTTATCTTTCCTGAGTTATTTCAGTAATATCTCTGTCTTAGTCACTGTTCTATTGCTGTTAAGGGACATAATGATCAAGGCAACTCATAAAAGAAAGCACCTAATTGGGGGCTTGCTTACAGTTTCAGAGGTTTAGTCCATTATCATTGTGGGGAACATGGCCCTTTGTAGGCTAGTGCTAGAACAGTAGCTGAGAGCTAGATCCCGATCTGGAGGCAGAGAGACTAGGCCTAGCATGGGTTTTGAGACCAGTGAATGACACTTCCTCCAACAAGGCCATGCCTCCTAATCCTTCTGTCAAAGAATTCTACTTCCTGGTGATTAAGCACTCAAGTATGTGAGTCTGTGGGGGTCATTTTTGTTCACACCACCACATCCTCTCCCTAGCAGCATGAGTGCTGTCCCTCCAGCGTTCTTGTAGTGCTATGGAGTGTAACTCTGTCTAGAGTTGGTTACATCAGACTGTGAGTTTCTCAAGAGTCCCTGATCTTGTTCATGCTACAATGATTGACCTTCAGTTTTTCCCTATTGTTTCACACAGACAAGACAGCCCAGGACAGTGGTTACCCCAATCACCAGGCGGATTCGAAAGCTTGCTGCAAACTGCATGAGGCTTTATTGTTGTTTAACGAGCTAACCCCATGTTAGCACGGGTCTTTCACTCACCCGCCATGGCTAGCAAAGACAGCTTGAACTGGCTGCTGGAACAGATCTTGTAGGGCAGCGTAAGGGGAGTGTCTAGAGGTACGCACAGGCTCAGGATTGGTGTGCCTCCAGGCTTGGAGGGCTTGCCCTGTGTTGATTGGCTAACTGGTTGTTATGGCCCATAGGCCCTCCCAGGGTGGTTGTTATGCTCTTCGAGTCATTGCTGTGCGCTTGTCTGTAAAGCACACGCAGAGGCCTAAAGCATACCACCACCAGCTAACTTCTGATTGGTTCCTTGCCATGAGGCAGGCACCTAACCTCTAGTGACCAAGGCAAGGTCAGAAAAGCACGTGTTACTGTCATGGCTGCTGAAAGGGGCAGGCATCTGACCTTAGTGACTAAGACAAGGTCAGACAAATACGTGTTCAGCTATTACGGTTGCCAAAATGGGAAGCTGGTCCCTTCATGAGCAATGGGGAGGTTATTACTCTGACCATGATTCTTTAAGAGACAAAGGTGCCACATCTGAATTGAGTATACCTTGTTTGCTGTTATTTATAGGTAGAGTCAGGTCACACTGATTTAGGGATCAAATCTGGAGGGCATTATAGAGTCTAGGTTACTCCGGAGTAAATCAGGTTTACAGGGGACTTCAGCTGAGACCCACCTGTTTGCCTTCAACCTCAAGGTGAATTCCTGTGTTGTCTGGAGGAGACTCATTTTCTTAATCTAGTGGTTACTTGGCCTTCAGGTATCACCACAGAGAATGTTTGATTGGGGCATTCCATGGGAGCTGGTCTGTGTCTCCCTTCCTCTATATCCACAGTGCTTACCTTCAATGGTGCCTTGAATGTTTTGTGAATGAATAACTTTGAGCTTCTAAAAGTGGCCCTCTCTTCTGTCTAAACACTGGTATGCCTCAAGGAAACAGTGTTTTGTTTGTTTTTAATGTCTTCCTGTCCTGTTTCCAGAGGTTGCCACCTAGCAATTTTTATTAAACCATGTGTTGGAGAGTTGAGGTTTTGTTTTGTTTTGTTTTGAGATAGGATCTCATTAGATAGTCTTGGTTGCCCTGGAACTTGCTATATAGACCAGACTGGCCTCAGAGTTGGAGATCTTCCTGCATCCACCTCTGCTAGGATTAAAGGTGTGCAGCACCACTAGAGATGAACTTCCATTAAAACCATAAGGTTTAAAAAGTTTGAATTTTCAGCATTCTGAAAATCAGCAAAAAGGAAGAACTTCTGTGTAAGGAACATGGCAGGGCTTCAATTAATTCTTTTCAGTCAAAACTGAGTGCCTAAGGGAGGTGGCACAATGCCAGGGTGTTTTGCTTCAAGCAGGTACTGTGGCATAGTTGAGTCTGGCCAAGGTGAGCCTTGTACTTTCCATACATTTGCATGGGGTCAACTCCTGAGAATATTTCTAAGAGTTCTGCTTTTAATGATGCTGGAAAATGGGTAGAAAAGGGTAGCCTCATCAGGATGGAAAGGCTTCTGTGAGCATTCTACTGAAAGCCAACATAACAGTCCCCTGGAACCCACATGTTTGGAAGAAGACAGACAGAAGTAATTTAGGGCCTTGTAGCTCCTATGCTAGGTCTGTTGATTTTTATCTTATTTATGTGATGAAACCTGAGGACATTGGGAGAAGCCATAGTGTCATAGGGCCTTTTATCTCACGTTTTAAATGAGTACTCCATCTTTTTCTTTTTCCTCTCTCCAGAGCCCTCTGTGTTTATTCAGATAGAATTTCTGAAACAAGAAGTCACCAAGGGTACCTGGCTCAGGATGGTTCAGAAGTGGTGTCAGGCAGTGAGGCTGTTGTAAATCTCCAAAGGCACAAGCAATGAGCTTCCCAGGCCCACAAGTGCAAAACAGGATCCTGGCAACAAAGCCTTGCTTGTGTGAATCTTGAGCTGTCATGGTTGGTTTAATACCTCAGATACCTCTGCTTTATACTGTTTAAAATATTTGACAGAAAACAAAAATCAAGTGAATGAAATCAAGTGTATGTGCTGGGCGAGTCTTGAAAGAAGATAAGTGTACTCTGTATGTCCTTCTTTTCTTTCTTTTTTGTTTGTTTGTTTGAGGCAGGATTTCTCTGTGCAGCCCTCCCTGGCTGTTCTGGAACTTGCTGTGTAGACAAGGCTGGCCTCGAACTCACAGAGACAAGATCCACCTTCCTCTGCCTCCCATGTGCTGGGATTAAAGGCATGTGCCACCACCACCCAGCTGCAAAAACATTTCTTGATTTAAGAAGTCAATGTTCACTTAAAAATGAAACAAAAAATTACAAAGCAAATAGGTATGTTTGTCTAGTTCAGTTCTTCACTCTCATACCAGACAGTCCAGCTGCCCACTGTTATGCAGTGTGTCACTACAGGTATGCTTTTGAAGATTGAAGGATATATCTTGTCCCTGGACTCTTCCTATTCATCTCTCTGATTTCTGCCTACCATGAGGTGAGCAGGCTCCTCTGTCATCTACTCCACGCACCATGATGTTCTTTCTCATCAAAGTCCTAAAAGCAATTAAGGCACCCTATGAACCAAAAGAAATCTTTCCTCTTTTAAACTGTTATCTGTCACAGTGACAAAAAGTCTAGTATTAGCCATTCCTTTTTTTTTTTGGAGGTGGTGGTACTGGGATTCATACTTAAGGATATGTGCATGCTGTACATGCCATAACCTCAAACTTTTACTGGCCATTCTTAAATATTCTTTGGTAAAATTCTATTCAGATAGTTGGCACATTTTAAAATTGGGCTTTATGTTGTCTTATTAATGAGTTGAATTATTTCTTTAAATATTTTGTAATCAAGTTCTTTACCCTATATAATTAACAAATTTCTTCTATTATGGTTCACCTTTCCCCCCCCCTTTTCCTTTCTTCCTCCCTTATCTCTATCCCGTATGTGCACACATGCATGCTTGCCCTTATGTAGGTGTGTGGGGATGTATGGGGAAGTCAGAGTATAATCTCAGGTTTTGTTTCTCAGCTGCCTACTCCTTCTGTTTGAGACAGGGTTTTTAACTGGCCTGAAATTTCACCAAGTAGACTAGGCTGACTCGCCAGCAAACGTTAGGGATCTATCTCCCATCTTGACATTTCTGAGATTACAAGCATACACTTTCTGCTTTCTTTCTTCCTTCCTTCTTCCCTCCCTCCTTCACTTCCTTCTTAAGATTTATTTATTTGTTTTATGTGCATTGGTGTTTTGACTGCATGTATGTCTGTGTGAAGGGGGTCAGATCCCTTGGAACTGGAGTTACAGACAGTTGTGAGCTGTCATATGGGTGCTGGGAATTGAACCTAGGTCCTCTGGAAAAGCAGCTGAGCCATCTCTCCACCCCCACATCCTGCTTTCTACTTGGGTTTTGGTGATCAAATTCAGGTTCTCATGATTGCAAGAGAAGCATTTTACTAATTTAGTCATTTCCCAATTCCCTCTGGTTTGGCTTTTCATTTCCTTAATGGTGTCTTTTGAAGTGCAAAAAATTATGAACAAGTTGAGTTTGCAAATTTTTTTATTGCTCATATTTGGTACCATAGCCTCCTCCATTTTATTGTGAGAGCTTGAAATTTTTAATTCTTGCTAATTTTTTAGCTTAGTGTGCAGTGCAGTAAGGAATTGTAAGTATATAGCCCAGCACCATGTTTTGAAAGCACTCTCATTTCTATTGAATGGCCATGGCATGTTTATCTAGAACCAATAGATTAACAGAGGGTTTATTTCTCAAATTTCAAGTTTCTTCATTCCATTGGGCTGTTTGTCTGACTTGACGCAAAATTCACATTGAATTAAATATATTGCTTTTAAAAAACCAGAAATTTTATGTAATGTGTGGCTATTGTAAAGGGTGATGTTTCTCTGATTTCTTTCTCAGTCCATTTATTGGAGGTTTACTGATTGTTTTTTTTAGTTAATCTTGTATCCTACCACATTGCTGAAGGTGTTTATCAGCTGTAGGAGTTCTCTGGTAGAATTTTTGGGGTCACTTATGTATACTATTATATTATCTGCAGATAGTGAATGTTTGACTTCTTCTCTTCCAATTTGTATCCCCTTTGTCTCCTTTTGTTGTCTTATTGCTCTAGCTAGAACTTTGAATACCATATTGAATAGATACGGAGAATTGGACAACCTTGTCTTGTTTCTTATTTTAGTGGGATTGTTTTGAGTTTCTCATTCAGTTTGATGTTGGCTATTGGCATGCTGTATATTGCCTTTATTATGTTTAGGTATGTTCTTTGTATCTTTGTTCCCTCCAAGACCTTTATCATGAAGGGGTGTTGGAATTTGTCTAAGACTTTTTCAGCATCCAATGAAATGATCATGTGGTGTTTTTCTTTTAGTTTGTTTATATGGTGAATTACATTGATATATTTTCATATGTTGAACCATCCCTGCGTCTCTGGGATGAAGCCAACTTGATCATGATGGATGATATTTTTTTTTTTATGTGTTTTGGATTTTGTTTGCCAGTATTTTAGTGTCAATGTTCATGAGGGAAATTGATCTTTAATTCTCTTTCTTAGTTGTGTCTTTGTGTGGTTTAGGTCTCAGGTAACTGTAGTCTCGTAAAAAGAGTTTGGCAATGTTCATTTCTGTTCCTATTGTATGGAACAACTTGAGAAGTATTTGTATTAGCTCTTCTTTGACATTCTAGTAGAATTCTGCACTGAAACTGTCTGACCCTGGGTCTTTTTTGGTTGGGAGACTTTTGATGACAGCTTCTATTTCCTTGGGGGTTATAGGTCTATTTAAATTGTTTATTTGGCCTTGATTTAATTTTGGTATGTGGTACCTATCCAGAAAACTGTCCATTTCCTTTAAATTTTCTCAGAGTCTGTGCTACTGATGATGTATTTAGGAAAGAATTTGGCTTACACTTCTAAGTCACAGTCCATAACTGACAGAAGTCAGGGCAGGAACTGATGCAGGAATTTGGAAGCAGGAACTGAAGTAGAGATTATAGAGAAATGTTTTGTAGTAGTACTTTCTCATCAGGACCGCCAGCCTGCAAATAACAACATGGCAACTTCTTATTAATTCTGAAAGCTTGGCTTTTAGCTTAGGATTATAACTTAAAGAAAACAAAAAAACCAATCTTATTTGGGCTGGAGAGATGGCTCAGAGGTTAAGAGCACTGACTGCTCTTCCAGAGGTCCTGAGTTCAATTCCCAGCAACCACATGGTGTCTCACAACATCTACAATTCAATCTGGTGCCCTCTTCTGGCATGTAGGCAGAACAATGTATATGTAATAAATAAATCTTTTTAAAAAACCCTCCAAAAAATCTTATTTTACATACCAATCCCAGTTGCCTCTCCCTCCTGTCCTTCCACTCCTCCCCATCTCCCTACCCTCCATCCACTCCTCAGAGAGGGTGTGGCCTCCCTTGGGGAGACATCAAAGTCTGTCACATCATTTGGAGCAGGACTAAGACCCTCCCTCCTGTATCCAAGTGGAGCAAGGTATCCCTCCTAAGGGAATAGGTTCCAAAAGGCCTGTTCATGGACTAGGAATAATTACTGGTTCTACTGCCAGTGGCCCCATGAACTGCTCAAGTCCCCCAAAGGTCACCCACATTCAGGGGGCCTAGTTCTGTCTTATGCTGGTTCCCCAGCTGTCAGTCTGGAGTCATTGAGTTCCCCACTTGCTTAGCTCAACTGTTTCTGTGGATTTACTGACATGGTCTTAACACCTTTGTTCATATTATCACTCCTCCCTTTCTACAACTGGACTCCGGGAGTTTGACCCTGCTTAGCTGTGGATCTCTGCATATTCTTCTATCAGTTACTAGATGAAGGCTCTATGGTGGGAATTAAGGTAGTTCTCAATCTGATTATAGGGGAAGGGCAGTTAAGGGACCCTTTCCATTATTGCTTAGATTCTTTTTTGGATTTTTAGTGATGTTTAATAGGTTTTTGAATTACCAGATGAATAGAAGGGAAAACCAAAAATGCTCACTTTTCTTGTGCCTAAGAATGAATGCATATGTGCCCACTGGAAGAACAGCCCCTGCCAGGAGTCCCTGCCAAGCGTATGGTTTCCCTCCCTGCTGTCTACTCTGGCCCTTCTGACTTGACAACAGTGACATCCACCCTGAGCCTCTTGAACATATGGCAGGGACCAGCTGCCTGCTGCTTGCAGGTGCTCACTTTGGATCTCTGGGATTTTCTTGTGTTGGTCCTCTGTCTCATCTTGCTGCTATGGCATTAGTTCTAAGATATTGTCTTACACTGCTGGCTTCAGATTGTGCTCCAGTGATGTGTCCACAGATTGACAGAGCTATTTAGGGAAGCTGAACTGTCCTCAAATTTGGAGTCATAATTAAATATAAAGCCATTGAAAGTATTTTTCATGAAATGTGATGCATTTTAAAATATATTAACAAGACAGAATGAGTGATGTTCATTAAGGATTAGTTGCTTTCCTTACTCCCGGCCTGCATACAGAATTGCATGATGCTTGCTGAGATGAATTCTTTTCAGTTTTTATAGGCATGCATCACTATGCCTATCAAATTTTGTAGAATTCTTTTGTAATTATGTCTGAAGCCTGCAACAGCTTGGATTGCTCACAGAGGGTGGTTTTACTTTCTGCCCTTCTAGCTACTGCTTTTTGCCATCAAAATAATCTGTGGCTGTTTCTTCTTAGTGCTCAGGAACTATAGCACTGACTTCTGAATAACAGTTTTTTGTTGTTTCTTTCCTTGTAGAGACCTAAAGCCAGAGAATATCCTCTTAGATGATCATGGTAAGTAAAAAAAGGCTTTCACATTTAAATGTAGAGGTGTCAGAGGGACACCTACTTGAGAGCTAATGTAGGCATAGCATGTTAGTGCAGACTACAGACAGTAACTAAAAGAAACTCTTTGGGATGTGTTCTTTAAACAAACAAAAGCCCAAACAGATGCATTGTCATCACCTGTACTTAGGTAAAATCAGAGATACCAGATGTTATGATGTATATTTTGAAGTAGGTGAAAATAAACCCCAAATGAGTATTTGCCCTCCTGTTTTTTTTGTTTGTTTGTTTGTTTTTTGCTATTTATTTTTCTTTATTTTTCTTTCTTTCTTTTTTCTTTTCTTTTTTTTTTTTTTTTTTTTTTTTTTGGTGTTTTTGAGACAGGGTTTCTCTGTGGCTTTGGAGGCTTTCCTGGAACTAGCTCTTCCCCCATTTATTTTTCTTATTCCTCAGCTTTCTAAACTTGGCATGCAGCTCTCAGTGCTGTCCCCTTGTCATCATATATCATGTGTCACAGATCTGTGGTGTGGATTGCTGTTATGGGGACCCTGTGGTGGTAGATGGGGACTGGTCCTTGTAGTCAGCTTCTTGTCAGCATCCTGGGTGCTTCTGGTCTTGGCATCTCTAGATCTGAGAATGAGCCCTATTACGAGGATGCTGTTTGTGTTTACACTAACTCGGTTAGCAATATTGAGAAGGAGCTTCTGTCTAGTGATTCTTAGTGGCTAAAAGGATCTTCTTATATAGAGCATGAGCCAAAGCCAGAGCCAGAGTGATTGCTACAGAGAATAGGTCAATGCGGCTGAGTCCTGAAGGCAAATATGGGGCATGATCAGTACATAGTTTTATGTCTACTTCTGCCACTGCTTTCTGCTTGTTACCTAACTTATGTACTGACTCCCTGAAAAGGAAAGGTGCTGGAAAAAATAACTTTTCCAGGTTGTGGCTGCAGCATCCAACTCTAAGCTTGTGATTTGTGCTAGTATGTGTTGTACTGTGATCTAGAGTTGGGATTGAAGCTACTTTAAAAGAGGCAGAGGGAGAAGACATGTTATATTGTTGGACATGGAGTAGTTTACTAAGTGTGTTAATAGAGTGAGTCTAAATCCAATGGCAGGTTTCCTTTGAAGAACATTTTCTTTGGTAATTTGTTACTTTCATAGGAATTGAACAAACATTTATGCCCTCCTATACATAAAACATTTGCATAGTTGAGGTCTCTAAGTAAAGGGTCTTAATTTCATCATTTCTACTGGTAGTTATAAGTAAATAATATGGTACCTCTGTTTTTATCTTGAGGCTACCTACTGTTAAAGGGCTTCTTCAAATATAAATCTAATTTCTTGTTATTAGTGAACCTCAATGTGCTATACAAAATTTCACTACACAGGTAAAGGTTAAATGTAACTTTTAGATATTCCATTTTTTATACATATTTGTTGTATGTGTTTTGTAGCACTGGGAATGGAATCTAGAGCCTCGAATAGTCTAGGCAAGTGTTCTACTACTGAGCTATATACTCAGCCATCATCATTGCATTTTAGATGGGCTTTGCCTCCCACTTATAATTGTTACTAAAATGCTGTTACTTCATCCCATGATCTGTACATTGTGTTTGAACACACACAGGACACATCCGAATTTCAGATCTTGGTCTAGCTCTGGAAGTCCCAGAAGGGGAGATGGTTCGAGGAAGAGTTGGTACTGTTGGCTACATGTGTAAGTGAAAGATGACTTTGGTGGACCTTATCCTTTCTTGCCAAGAGGCCCAGTGCTCCAGAAACTAGAGAAAAAAAAAAAGCTTTTCATTTACTTTAGTAGTATAAACCTCATTAAACTATAAAAACAATGCCACATTGAAACACACTAACTTTTAAAAAATATTAGTATTACATTTATTTACTATTGTGTATATGTACATATGAGGATGCCAGAGAGCACATGAGGACAGCTCAAGTGAGTCAGTTCTCCTTTCACAAAACTCAGGTAAGTCAGGTTTTAAAGCATGCATTTTTAGTCATTGAGCCATCTTGCCAGCCCCTGAAATAGCGTTTAATAAAAGATAATTATCACTGTGATACTTTATGTGCAAACACAACAGTTTGTATCCTTCAGGACCGAAAACAATGATTAGGTGTAAATTCAATTTTAAAAGAACAAGACTGTTTTTGAGGGGCAGACATGGTAATATATGGGATTAAAGGTGTGCACTACTATGCTCAGCTCGTCCCCACTCTTTTTTTTTACGCTAAACAGGGTTTTTGTTTAGCCTTGGCTGTCCTGGAACTTACTTTGTAGACTAGGCTGGCCTTGAACTGGGAGATGCACTTGCCTCTGCCTCCTGAAGGCATATGCCAGCACCTTCTGACATCTCCCCCCCTTTTATTAAACATAAATTCTTTTCTCATACAATATAATCTGAATACAGTTTCCCTTCCCTCTGCTTCTCCTGGTTCCTCCCCACTTTCTCTCCTATCCTGATCCACTGCTTTTCTGTTTCTCATTAGAAAAGAACAGGCTTCTAGGAGATAACAAAATAAAATATAAGATAAAATATAATAAGAAAAAACAAAAGAGTCCCAAGTGAAGGCACAAAAATCAGAGAACCAATTGTTTATATGAGTCCCATAAAATTACTAAACTAGCCGGGCGTTGGTAGCGCACGCCTTTAGTCCCAGCACTCAGGGGGCAGAGGCAGTCAGATCTCTGTGAGTTCGAGACCAGTCTGGTCTACAAGAGCTAGTTCCAGGACAGGCTCCAAAGCTACAGGGAAACCCTATCTTGAAACACCCCCCCCAAAAAAAAATTTACTAAACTGAAAACTAAAATAAATATGCAGAAGGCCAGGCGGTGGTGGTACATGCCTTTAATCCTAGCACTTGGGAGGCAGAGGCAGGTGGATCTCTGAGTTCAAGGCCAGCCTGGTCTACAGAGTGAGTTCCAGGACAGCCAGAGCTATGCAGATAAACCCTGTCTTGAGAGAGAGGAGGGGGGGGGGAGGGAAGGAGGGAGGGGGGGAGAGAGAGAGAGAGAGAGAGAGAGAGAGAGAGAGAGAAGAAGAAAAGTATATATGCATGCAGAGGACCTGGTGCAGACCCAAGTACCTGTGATTACTGCTTTAATCTCTGTGAGTTTGTATTAGATTTGCTCAGTTGTTTTAGAGGTCCTTGTCCTCCTGGTGTCCTCCATCTCTTCAGTCTCTGCAACTCCTTCTGCCTCCTCTTCCAAGTGGTTTCCTGAGCTCTGAGGGGAGAGATTTGATGGGAACATCTCATTTAGAGCTTTGTGCTTCAAGGTCTCTTTCTCTGTGTGTGCAATATCTGGCTGTGGGTTTCTGTATTTGTTCACATTTGCTGCAGGAGGAAGCCTCTTTGATGATAGTTGAAAAGGCACAGAACTATGAGTATAGCAGAATATCTTTAGGAGTTGTTTTGTTGTTACTTTTTTTTTTTTTTTGACCAGTCATATTTGGTTTTATCCTATGTCTTTGGGCTATCTAGACTCTGGTTCTTGGTCACATAAGCAGTGTCAGGTATGAGTGGGCCTTAAGTCAAATCAGACATTGGTTGGTTACTCCCACTAGGTTTTTGCCGCTATTGCCCTAGCATATTTTACAGACAGGACAGATTGTAGATCAAAGTTTTTGTGGTTGGGTTACTGTTTGCTTTTCTCTTTTGGCAGCCTGCAGAGTACCATTCCATGTCATAGACACTAGAACATGGGGGTGAAGGTTCTATGTAGGCACCAGCTTGACCTTTCTATTTTCAGTGAGTTGTGTGGGTATTGTCTTCAGCAATGGGGCTTTGCTGTCAGTTTGTGGATTGCAACTTCTTGTCTTGGCAACAGCCTGGGTTGTTTGGGGATTTCCATGGGACCCTTTCAGCCAACAACTCAATTGGATGAAAGCTTTGTTTTATGACAAGAGATGGCCATTAGGGGTTCCTACTCCCTCATTTATTTGGAAACTTAAGATTGCTTTCATATATTATAGAAAGTTTCCACTGCACTAGGTTTCCATACCTTCCTCAGATGCTCTTCAATTCTAGCTGTCTCTCCTCTCATTCCCTCCTTCAGTTCCATCTCCCCTTCCCCTTTCTACCTGATCCTCCCATTCTCTCCAAAACCTCAACTCCAGTCTCCCCATAAAATCTATTCTATTTCTCCCTCCCAGGGAGATTTGTATGTCTCTCTAGTCCCTTTATCCATGCTTAACCTCTCTGGGTCTATGGATTATAGCTTGGTTATCATTTATTTAATTTAATGTCCAGATATAAGTGAACACATACCGTATTTTTGGTTCTTGGTTACCTTATGCAGGATTTTTTTGTTTTGTTTTGAGACAGAGTTTCTCTGTGTGACAATTCTGGCTGTCCTGGAACTAGCTTTGTAGACTAGGCTGGCCTTGAACTCACAGATATCTGCCTGCCTCTGCCTCCTGAGTGCTGGAATTAAAGGCATGCGCCACCACCACCTGGCTCCAAAGGATGATTTTTTTCTAGTTCCATCCACTTGCCTGCAAATTTCCTGATGTCTTTTTTTTTTTTTTAAAGCTGAGTAGTACTCTATTGTGTAAGTGTACCATATTTTCTTCATCTATTCTTCTTTTGAGGCACATCTAGGTTGTTTCCGACTTCTGGCTATTATTAATAGAGCATCAGTGAACATGACTGAGCAAGTGTCCTTGTGGTAAGATGAAACATCCTTTGGGTATAAGCCCAAGAATGGTATAGCTGGATCTTAAAGTAGGTCATTCCCATCTGTAGGCTGCCGCTTTGTCCAACTGTCGGTGTCCTTTACTGTGGAGAAACTTTCAGTTTCACGAGGTCTGTTTATTAATTGTTGATCTTAGTGCCTGCACTATCGATGTTCAGAAAGTCATCTACTGTGCCAATGTGTTCAAGGGTATGCCCCCACTCTCTCAGAATCTATCAGGTCCAGTGTACCTTGTTTTATGTTGAGGTCTTTGATCCATTTGGAGTTGAGTTTGTGAAGGGTGCTAGGTGTGGAATCTATTTGCATTCTTTTACATGCAGCCACCCAGTTTGAATAGCACCATTTGTTGAAGATGCTGTCTTTTTTTCAGTGTGTATTTCTGGCTTCTTTATCAAAAATCAGGTATCCATGGGTGTTTGGGTGTATGTCTTCCATTCAATTCCATTGATCAATGTGTATGTTTTTGTGCCAGCACCAAGAAGTTTTTATAACTATAGCCTTTTAAGTTTTAAGATCAGGAATGGTCAGACCTCCTGCAGTTCTTTCATTGTTCAGATTTTTGTGTTTCCATATGAAATTGAGACTTGTGCTTTCAAGGTCTGTGAAGAATTGTGTTGAATTTTGATGGGGATTGAGCTGAATCTGTAGATTATCTTTGATAGGATGCCATTTTTACTATGTTAACCCTGCTGATCTATGAGCATGGAAGATCTTTCCATCTTCTGATGTCTTTTTCAATTTTTTCTTCAAAGACTTGAGGTTTTTATATAATAAGTCTTTCATTTGCTTGGTTAGCATTACCTCAAGAAGCTATTGTGAAAGATATTGTTTCCATGGTTTCTTTCTCAGTCTGTCATTTATATATAGGAGGGCTACTGACTTTTTTGAGTTAATTGTCTATCCAGCTACTTGGCTGAAAGTGTTTATCAGCCATAGGAGTTCCCTGGTGGAATTTTTTGGGTCACTATGTGTACTAGCATATCATCTGCAATCAAAAATACCTTGACTTCTTCCTTTCCAATTTGTATCTCTTTAATCTCCTTCAGTTGTCTTATTGCTCTAGCTAAGACTTCAGGTATGATAGGTATGGAGAGAGTGGACAACCTTGTTTTGTTCCTGATTTTAGTGAAGTTGCTTCAAGTTTCTCTCCATTTAAGTTGACATTGGCTATAGGCTTGCTGTAAGCTTTCTTTATTATGTTTAATATGTCCCTTGTCTTCCTAATCTCTCCAGGATTTTTATCATGAAAGAGTGTCAGATTTTTGTCAAAGGCCTTCTTTTCTGCATCTAATGAGATGATCATGTGGCTTTTTTCTTTCAGTTTGTTTACATAGTGGATTGCATTTATTGATTTTCATATATTGAACCATTCTTGGGTCTTTGGGATGGAGCCTACTTGATCCTTGTGGTGGTTTGCATAGTTATGGCCCCCATAGACTCATGTGTTTGAATGCTTGGCCCATAGGAAGCGACACTGTTAGGAGGTGGAGCCTTGTTGGAGGAAGTGTGTCACTATGAGGGTGGGCTCTGAAGCCATATATGCTCAAGCTATGCCCAACATGACACACGGGCCTCCTTTTACTGTCAGTGGATCGAGATGTAGAACTGTCAGCTTCTTCTCTATCACCTTGTCTGCCTTCATGCCAGCAGGTCCCATCATTGATGATAATGGACTGAACCTCTGAAACTGTAAGCCAGTCCTGAGTTGCTGTGGTCATGGTGTCTCTTCATAGCAGTAGAAATCATTACTAAGACAATCATGGTGAATGATCTTTTTGAAGTGTTCTTGGACTTGGTTTGCAAATATTTTGATTATTTGTGCATCAATGTTTATAAGAGAAATTGGTCTGTAATTTTCTTTCTTTGTTGGATCTTTTGTGGTTTGGGTATCAGCATAACTGTGGTCTCACAGAATGAATTGGGCAATGTTCCTTCTATTTCTGTTTTGTGGAATAATTTGAGGAGTATTGATGTTAACTTTTTTTTTTTTTTGAAAGACTGTTAGAATTCTGAATTAAAACCATATGGTCCTGGACTTTGTTTTTTTTTGCGGGGGAGGGGCTTTTTTAATGTGCATTGGTGTTATTGCCTGCATGTATGTCTGTGTGAGGGTGTTGTATTCCCTGAAACTGGAGTTACAGACAGTTGTGAGCTGCCATATGGATGCTGAGAATTGAACCCAGGTCCTCTGGAAGAACAGTTATTACTCATAACCATCAAGACACCTCTTTAGTCCCTGGTTGAGAAACTTTAATGACTGCTTTTATTTCACTATGGGGTTATAGGTGTGTTTAAATGGCTTATCTGATGTTGATATAACTTTGGCAGAAAATTATCTTTTGGAAGAAAATTATCCTTTTTTGAAAGATTTTCTGATTTTGTGGAGGACAGGTTTCTAAATTATGGTCTTATGATTGTTTGAATTTCCTCAGTGACTGTTGTTATCTCCCCTTTTCCTTTCTGATTTTGTAATTTGGATATTCTCTCATGCCTTTTAGTTAATTTGCATAAGGGTTTGTCAGTCTTACTGACAAAGTTTTTTCCAAGAACCAAGTCTTTGATTGATTTTTTTTATTGTTCTCCTTGTTTGATTGATTTTTTTTATTGTTCTCCTTGTATCTATTTTATTGATTTCGGTCCTTAGTTATTATTTCTTATCATCTACTCCTTTTGGATGTGATTTCTTCTTTTTGTTCTAGAGCAGTGGTTCTCAACTTTCCTAGTGTTGTGACTAGTTTCTCATGTTGTAGTAACCCCTAACCATAAGATTATTCTGTTGCTACTTCTGCTGTTATGAATCATAATGTAAGACCCAGAGGTTGAGAACCACTGTTCTAGAGCTTTCAAGCATGCTATTAAGTTGCTAGTATGAGATCTCTCCAGGTTCTTTTTTTTTAACTTAGTGCTATGAGCTTTTCTCTTAGAACTACTATTATTGTGTCCCATAAATTTGTGTATGGTGTGTATTCATTTTCATTCAATTCTAGAAAGTCTTGCGTTGACCCATTTTTCATTCAGTAGAGTTGTTCAGTTTCATGAATTTGTAAGATTTCTGTTGTTTCTGTTGTTGTTGATATCCAGATTTAATTTGTGATGGTCTGATAGGATGCAGGGAATTATTTCAGTTTTCTTGTGTCTGTTGAGACTTACTTTGTGTCCAAGTATGTGGCCAATTTTGGAGTAAGTTCCATGGGGTGAACAGAAGAAGGTATATACTTTTGTGTTTGGGCAAAGTGTTCTGTATGTTTAGTGTCTAGATTATTATATGGCCAGCAGAATTTCTTTTCAGGTTCAATCTATTTGGTGTTCTATGTGCTTCTTTTACCTTTATAGGCATCTCTTTCTTTAGGTTAGAAATTTTTTCTATGATTTTGTTGAAAATATTTTCTGCGCCTTTGATCTGGATTTTTTCTTCCTCTATTTCTATTATTCTTAGATTTGGTCTTTTCATAGCATCCCAGAGTTCCTGGATGTTTTATGTCAGTACATTTTAGATTTAACATTTTCTTTGACTGATTTATATTTCTTCTATTGTATCTTCAATGCCTGAGATTCTCTCTTCCATCTCTTGTATTCTGTCAGTGAAGCTTGCTCCTATAGTTCTGCTTTGAATTCCTAAATTATTAATATCTAGAATTCCCTCAGTTTTTGTTTTCTTTGTTGCTTTTATTTTGTGTCTTGAACAGTATTATTTGTTTACATCAACTGTTAGGTTTACCATGATTTTCTTTAAGGGATTTATTCATTTCCTCTTTAAGGACCTCTGTCATCTTCATGTAGTTGATATTAAGGTCCTTTTCTTGGTTTTCAGCTATGTTGGAATATCCAGTGCCTGCTGTGGTAGGGTTGCTGGGCTTCAGTGGAGACATATTGTCCTGGATGTAATTGTGTTTTTATACTGAAGTCTAGGCACCCGGGATTGAGATGATTATAGGTCTGGGAGATTATATTTAGTTTTGTCTCAGTTGGGTGGGTGCTTTTTCCCTTGGTTTCTACTTTCTCCCTGGATTTTAGGAGAGTTTTGTGACTGTAGAGAATTTTCTCTGGACCTGTTTCTGTGGCCTGCTCAGCTAGTGTATTCCCAGGGTTATGCCTGCTAGTGTTGGAGGTTAGGATAATGGAATGAGTTCAGGGAAGGAAGGCTGTAGGAGATCTTTATGATCTGTTTGGTGTAGGGTCAGAGAAGAAAGGGAGACCACAGCAGGTTAGACCTATAGAGCTGGGGATGAGACTGTGTGTGGGGGGATTAGATCTGGAGGAGCAGAAGGAAAGGTGTGGATCTACTATCAGCCTACTTGTTTCCTTGGCAGGAGTGGCTCTTGGGATAGTAAGGGGTGGCTGCTGAGGTTGGGCACTGGGACAAAGCAATGAGGGGGTCAGTTAGAAGGGGAGGATCTATGGGATCCACAGGAGAAGTGAATAGGGCTGGGAAGGCTTGCCCAGATGTTCTGCTGCAGATCTGGGGATAAGACTAGGAGACTGGGGAGCAGAGAGCTAAGAGACATGTTTTTTAAGCAGCTGATAATATAGCTACATTTTAATAGAGAAATCTGAACTGTACGTAAAAACTAGTTGGTATTATGAAAAATATGCATTTAGTTATAAAAATTAAGGAACTCACCGGGTGGTGGTGGTGCACACCTTTAGTCCCAGCACTTGGAGGCAGAGACAGGCAGATCTCTGTGAGTTCGAGACCAGTCTGGTCTACAAGAGCTAGTTCGAGGACAGCCTCCAAAACCACAGAGAAACCCTGTCTCGGAAAAAAAAAAAAATTAAGGAACTCAGCTGGGCGGTGGTGGCACACACCTTTAATCCCAGCACTCCTCGAGGCAGAGACAGGCGAATCTCTGAGTTTGAGGCCACCCTGGTCTACAGAGTGAGTTCCAGGACAGGCAGGGCTAATACACAGAGAAACTGTGTCTTGGCAAAAGAAGAAAACAAAAACAAAAAAATTAAGGAGCTCTGATTTACAAAATAATTGGGGAAACAGAGGCTAGAAAAATATCCCAATCTGAGTTGCCTGTGCAGTAGCATTTGAGCCCCTGAGTGCTCAGATTATTAGAAAGGCAACTGATGCTACTTCCCTAAAGAATGACTATTTTCCAGAATAAACGCCATTACTTTCAAATGTTATCTAAATGTTAAAGTTTAACCCAGCATCTTTGTAAATGTTTTGCAGATCTAGAGCAGTGGTTCCCAACCTTCCTAATGCTGTTCCTTAATACAGTTCCTCAGGTTGTGGTGACCCAAACCATAACATTATTTTTTGTTTGTTTGTTTTTTGAGACAGGGTTTCTCTGTGTAGCTTTGGAGCCTGTCCTGGAACTTGTTCTGTAGACTAGGCTGGCCTTGAACTGACAGAGATCTCTGCCTCCCGGAGTTCTGGGATTAAAGGCATGAGCCACCAACGCCGGCTAACGTTATTTTTGTGGCTACTTCATAAGTGTAATTTTGCTACTTTAATGAATTGCAATGTAAATATCTGTGTTTTCCAATGGTCTTAGGTGGCCCCTGTGAAAGGGTCGGTGAGCCTCCAAAGGGATTGTGACCCACAGGTTATGAACCACTAATGTAGACTGTCTGAGGATTTTTTCTAGTCTGCAGCCTTTTTATAAATGAGTGGTGCCAATAGACTCCTGAGTTTATGTAGTTACGTGAGGGCAGAGTCAGGTAAGGCTACAGGTCTCCTCGTGAAGCTGGCATCCCATGCATGTGGGCACACAAATCCTACCCACCTGATCCCTGGGAAGCTAATCATGTTCAGATTATTCCAAAGATGGAATAATGGGCAATGCCAGCCTACCCTTGGTAGCTTCTAAGGACATGGTGGGTCTCTCAGAGCCTGATATTCCTCCCCTTGCAGGTTTCTGGGGTTTCTTCTGACTTGGGAACAGATGACACTGCACTTGAGGCACCCATGGGAACATTCGAGTGGAGGGAGCACCCCCAGGAGGCAAGCTTTCTTTCCAGTACCATTTTTACCATATTACCCACCCTGCATCAGTCATGGTTATCCAGTATAGATACATAGATACAGATTCAATTATTCTTTACACATCAAAGAATCCAACTATTTGAAGTATATAATTCAGTGGATATTAGTCCACTTACAGAGTTGTGCATCCATCATTGCCATTACTTTATCTAATTTCAGAACATTTTTTAATCACTTCAGATTTTAATGACCTGTTAGCAACTACCCTCTACTCATCACTTTCTACTCCAGTCCTTTCAACCATGACCTTATGTTCAGTCTCTCTAGATTTGCATATACTGTATATTTCATATAAATATAACCATATGATCTTTGGCCCTTTGTGTTTTTTTTAACTAGCATATTTTTATGGTTCCTAGATCATGTTGTAACAAACATTAAATTAATAATGTATTATTTGGAGTTAATAATAAGAATATTTAAAACTAAAATTTAATTAAAATTTTCCATATTTGTTATATAGCTCCAGAAATTATCAACAATGAAAGGTACGCATTTAGTCCTGATTGGTGGGGACTTGGCTGTCTGATATATGAAATGATTGCGGGACACACTCCATTCAAAAAATATAAAGAGAAGGTCACCCGGGAGGAACTGGAAAGAAGAGTGAAGAATGACACTGAGGAGTATTCTGAGAAGTTTTCAGAGGATGCCAAGTCCATCTGCAGCATGGTGGGTCAGGTTCCACAGAGACAGGGAAATGATTAACTCCCTTCATCTAACTCTTTTGATGGTTCAGAAGTAGGTAGGCAGTCTTCGAAGCAGGACAGCCCCCCATTCCCAGCTTACAAGCCCTGGTCCAACAGCAAGACCTAGGTGCAGGTGAGCTCAGCCAAGCTGCTCAGTAACCAACCTCTTTCCTGGCACTCTTGCCTGGAATTTCATGCAGACCATACGAGCACAGATCAAGTTCCCAGTCCAGGCAGAGGAAAATTCATGACTACCCTTCTATATTGATGTTATTGAAAGGAAGAATGGTGCCAAGTTACTCAGTTTTCAGAAACAGCTGCTGAGTCTTGTTCATTGACTCATTTTATGTAAAATTCAATATAAAACTAGTTTCTAATGTATTTTGAAATGGGAAGATTATCTCTGCCAATTTAATTTTCTTTAAATCATCACAGACACTCTGACTTGAAGGTCTGCATGGGCCATGAGCCCAGAGACAGCAGAGAGCTATCTTTGTCCAGCTCTACAGTTTGGCTGGGCAAGTATGATAAAGCAGGCATGGAGACATGTAGGGAAGCTGGCTGTGTGCAAAAGAGGACTGAGTCCTGGATCATACAATCTCCATACAACCTGCCCTCAAGGAGCTCAGAGTTTAATCTTAGGCCTACATCCATGAGAATGACTAACAGTCAGGATTTGGGTATTATAAACTTAAGTTTTAAAGACGGGCTCAAGGGTTTCAATGATAAAGTAACAGGAAAAGGCAAAGAAAAAACAATAGGTGATTATGGCCAAGTGTGAGCTGTGGGTTGTTGGAACTGAGACATCCCATACCAGGATTAGAACAATTGGAGGGATACACAGACAAGAAACTTTTTGAGGAACCTAACTTGTGACTCTGGGAGAGAGTGACTTGGCAGGGTAGGAGATAAAGGGGTGGGCCTCTGTGGGTGTGAGAATGGCAACAATTGTGCCTATTACTGAACTGTACTGGTAACTTACATCAGTTGACATTATCTGGAGAATAATTATTTGGGGCTCCTTCATTTTGTTACCATATACAAAATGATGGGCATTACAGATTTGTCACTGAGCTGTGGGATGCTAAACCCAGCCTACTCAGCTTGTAGTTGACAGCATTCCACAGTGGTTTGATCAAGCTACTTTTGCATTTGGCTTTGTAAATATTGACTGAGTGATTGCTGTACATAGGACACTGACAGTACTGTAATGTGAAAGCAGAGATGGAACCTGCCCTCAAGGAGCTCAGAGTTTAATCTTAGGCCTACATCCATGAGAATGACTAACAGTCAGGATTTGGGTATTATAAACTTAAGTTTTAAAGAAGGAAGGGCTCAAGGGTTTCAATGATAAAATTCTTGTTATGCTAGAGGCACTGGGAAAGAATGTAGAGTCTGAGCAAAGGACAGATTTTTGATTTTTTTTTTTTTTTTTAAAACTGAGTCAGGGTTTTTCTGTGTCATCTTGGCCATCCTGGAATTTGCTTTGTAGACCAGGCTGGCCTCGAAATCAGAGATTCACCTGCCCCTGCCTCCCAAGTGCTAGAATTAAAGGCGTGCACCACTACCACCTGGCTAAAGAACAGCTTTTGTAAGTAGCCTAGCTTTGAAGTTGGCCTAGTCTTAGCATCCACTCTTACATCTCTGAGCCCCAGTCTGTTGTCTATAAGATGCAAGCAAGACAAGATTCTTCGAGGATAAAATCAAGTAATGAGAGTAAGTTGTTGAGGTACATGTTTCTTGCTGTGATAAAACACCCTGATTTAAAAAAAAAAAAAGAAAAGAAAAGAAAAGAAAAAAACAACTTAAGGGAGAAAGGGCTTATTTGGCTTTTAATTGCAGGTTGTATTCCATCACTGCAGGGAAGTCAAGGCAGCTGGAACTTGAAGTAACTAGTCACATCACTTCTACCTTCAGCAGCAAAGATCAATGAATTAGTACAAATATACCAGTTCTCATCTGCCTATCTCCATTTAATCTAGTACCCAGACTATGAAATGGTGTGACCCACATTAAGAGTGGGTGTTTCTACCAATTCAGTTAAGAAAATCCCTCACAAGAATGCCCACATGTCCTACATTTGAGACCCTTTTCCTCTTCCTGGGTTGCCTCATCCAGCCTTGATATGAGGGTTTGTGCCTAGTCTTATTGTAATTTGTTATGCTGTGTTCACTTGATCCCTGAGAGGCTGTTTTTGGTTATTTGGGGGGGCCGGAAATTGAGGAAGAGGACTGGATCTGGGGGAAAGGGAACGTGGGAGGGAGCCTGGGAAGAGTGGAGGGAGGGGAAACTCTGGTCAGAATGTGATGTAATGGAGAGCTAAAAAAATATAAATAAATAAATAAATAAATAAATAAATAAATAAATAAATAAAAAAGAATGTGCACGAGTAAACCTAATCTGGACAGTTCTCTTTTTAAGACTCCCTTTCCAGGTGATTCTAGATTGTGTCCATTTAATAGCTAAAATCAACCATTATGCTCAGTAACTACTGTGAAGAGAAACAACTGGCTCTTAAACAATGGGTTAAATTTCCCACAGATGGAAATGGGTAACTTGCACAATAGCAGAGAGGAAGGTGTGCAGAGGGACAAGAATGTGGGCCAATCTTTTTTGATTGATAGTAATTATGGAGGAAGGCTTATTTGAATTTGTGAGTTATAAGCATAAGCATGTAAAGAATACTTTTGAAAGAGACTGTTGGGTGTGCAGTTGGCACATGGCTATAACCCCAGTACTCTAGAGGTACAGATATGCATATGAGGACTTCAAAATTAACCTAGGCTACAAGATCCTGTCTTGAAAAAACCACGTGGTCCAGGAGATTGTTCAGTGGGCTAAAATATTTTGTCACATAAGCCTGATGACCTGAGTTTTATCTCCAGAATCTATGCCAAAAGGCAGATATGGTGGCACACATCTTTAATCCCTGTACTCCTGGGGTTGGAATAGGATCTGGAAGTTTGTGGGGGCAGCTAATCTGGAATAGAGCAACAGAAACAAAGAGGCACCCTGCCTCGACAAGGTGGAGGGCAAGAATAGATTCCTTATCCGGAAAACTGTCCCTTGACCTCCACACATGCACTATGGTATGTACTCACACAAATACATAAATAAAACCAAAAAGGGGAGAAAGAGATGATGTTAGAAATGGGAGAGAGACAAAGTCAGAGAGTTAAGTATATACAGTTTCTAAAATGAGGTTTACTAAATTTTTTTACTTACTTGAGGTCTTAGTATTCTAATGAATAAAGGTTTCTTTTTTATAAATTCAACAGCATTAAAATAGTGTTTCTAAATTCATAACTCCATTTCCTTAATTATTCCTTAGTTTTTACAAGATTTTTACTTGAGGATTAGTTTATTCAAATTGCTGGGATTTTTTGGGTTTTTGTTTGTTTGTTTGTTTGTTTTTGTCTTTTTTGAGACAGAGTCTATATAGCACTAGCTGTCCTAGAATTCATTATGTAGACCAGGCTGGCCTCAAACTCACAGAGATCTGCCTGTCTCTGCCCAAGTGCTGAGATTAAAGGGGTACACAATGAGGCACAGAACTTCAAGCTTGCAAGTCTTGGCAAGACTTGAGTTTTACCCTTTGTGAAACCATAACCTACTTAGTTAAGTCTGAAATTGTACAGGGTGATTGATACTTGGGAACTGTAGTGGTTCTTTATTAGGATAAATGCCCTCTCTGTTACCCTGACTTCTTTGGTTGTTAAAGAGGATAGTTTTGAGTTTATTATTTCTATCCTAATAGCTTCACTTGATTGTTTCTCTTTTGTGTAGTTACTCATCAAGGATCCAAGTTATCGGCTAGGCTGTCAGAGTAATGGAGCTGCTGCTGTAAAGCAGCACCCAGTGTTCAAGGACATTAACTTCAGCAGGCTGGAAGCAAATATGTTAGATCCCCCTTTCTGTCCTGATGTAAGTATGCTGCCTAGAGTAGCTAGGTCTCTAAGAACACTGATTCCCATACCAGTCTTTTTGTTAAAGCACACTTAATACAGCCAGCCTGTTGGTTCTGCTACATAGTCTGTTATTTCTGCTACTTCTGCCTATATCCCACCACCCCCACAGCCTCACGTAGACCTTAGTGGCTCCCTGGCTCCAAGGCCTGGGGTATGCCGTCCATCACTTCTGGGATGGCCAAACTCCTGTCCTCCCAATTCTCAGGGCCATTTCAGACCCCTTTGGCATACTCTTCAAGGCTCTCTGTATGCCAGTGTCAGATCTCAGTGCTGGGTTTACCTCCATCACTGTGCTCACTCATTACACTGAGTACACACAGCTGCTTAGTCTGGAATGTGCATCCTTCTGGAGCTGTCATGTGTGCTTCTTCCTGAGTATGTGATTGAGATAAAAAAAAGGTCATGCCTCCAAAAGCACAGGGCCTGGTACTTGTCAGTGCTGTGTATATAACATAATACATACTAAGTGAATATGGTAAATATAGTGCACAATAAGTGAACTACTGATGAAAGGATAGCTTGGACTCCTACCCTTAGCAGTACAAAAATGGAAAGATAGTTAAATTTTCATTGTTGGATAGAATTAAGATAAACCTACAATTGAGATATTTTTTATTTGTAAGATTTCTTCAGAACTTGCTTAATATCCATAGTATTTGTTATAGTGGTAACTGTTTCCTTGGAACTATTCCTACTTGAGATATTCAGGGCATGTCCACTATCTCCAGAACAGCTCTAGGTGTGAAAACAAAGGGAGAGAGAGGTAGGCAAAGGAGTGTTTCTGCTTGGAGAGACAGGTAGGAAGACAAATGACTAGCATGCTGGGAAAGTGTTGCCTGACAGTGCAGCATGCATGACCTGGACTTCATATAGCTGTCCGGTCTGGAGATGGGGCAGCTTGGGTCAAAAGCAGCAAAGACAGGCCAATGTGGTTTCTCAGGAAGAAGGGGAAAAACCCTGACAGGAGCCATCTTAGAACTGTTGGTATTCTTGGTTTAAACAAATTGCACTATTTGAAGGCAATTCAGAAAACTCTGGACATTTTGCCTTCAGAATTAAGATTCTTAGTTTGTGGGGCTGTATGTGTCTTGGCTTTTGGCCTAGACTGTCCCAGGAGAGGACTTGCCAGTCCTTCTATCCTTCACTTTGTGGGATAGATGAGAATAGGAACAGTGCTGACCAGTGACCTGCAGACTACCACTGTAATGACACTCATCATTTGCTCAACCCAACAAACAGTGCAGTGATTCCTCAGGACTGTTAGTGTATTTTGCAGTAGTAGACAAAGACTCCTTAGTTGCAGAGTTCTGTTATTTGTGTTCTCCTTAGTCCCAGAAGGGCAAGCAAAGCTCTGAAGGAATGGAGGCCTGGGTCTTGACAGCCCTATATGCTTACCTGATCACTTGCTCCTGAGGACAGCAGTGCCAAGGTAGAGGCTGTAGGCCTAGGCCCTAGTTACAGAGGAGAAATTGCTACGTTTCACCCAAATGCTAAGTAGGTGCTTTGCAGGTAGGATGCTCAGGGTCAGACACAAGATAAAAATTGTCACTAGTGGATCCTAGAGCCAGTGGTCTCCATGCCTGTTTATATCCCTCTCTGTGTCCCAACAGAAGAAACCCATCCCATTCTTATATAGTTTTAGCCTTTGCAATCTATTTTCTGCTACAGAGACGAAAAAGGGTCCTCAAAAGGGGCATATGAACATCTGTGGTGGTGGTAGGGGTGTGTGGGGGGACAACAACTGGAACTGACACTACAGGATCTGTGACACTGAAAGCTCCCTGAGAAAAGTGACACAGGAACTGCTGTGTAACAGAATATACATGATATAAATTAGAAAATTAGTTTGAAAAGGCCTTGGCAATGAACATGGTGGGGAGGAATATGTGTAGAGTTGCTTTAGAACTGGGAATGTAGTTAAGTGGTAGAGTGCTTGCCCAACAAGTGCAGACCCTATGTTCAATTCCTAGCAGCTGAAAATTAAAAACAAAATGTCCTTTATAAGCTACATATAGCACCTGGGGGTGGTCAAGGCAGCCAGAATGTGAGTTTAGGGACAGCCTAGGCTACCCATTTCTGTCTCAAACATCCAGAAGAAAACAAAATCAAACAAGAAAAGAGTTATTATAGTTGTCTTATAGGTTGATGCCTCTTTTTGTTCTTGGTGCCCAGCCTCAGGCCATTTATTGTAAGGATATCTTGGATATTGGGCGGTTCTCTGTGGTGAAAGGAGTCAACCTGGACAGCAGTGATGAAACCTTCTATGCCCAATTTGCTACAGGGTGTGTCAGCATCCCCTGGCAGAATGAGGTACTACTCTTTCTAGCAGAGTAGGTTTATGCTAGTTTCAACAGTGTGTGTGTGTGTGTGTGTGTGTGTGTGTGTGTGTGTGTGTACAAAGTAAATTTATGCAAAAGACTTGACTATGAGGACTAGATCAGATCATGGGTAAGCCAAGACAGTATCAGCAGTTGCCAGAAAGCATGACAGCTACTCTGGACCCTGTTACAGGAGATGGGCAAAAGGTGATCTTGAGATTTGCCTGCCACCCTGGAGTCCTGCTTCCTAAGCAGGGCTAGCTGGTAGCTTGGCTTCAATGGAATTAGCTTTGGGGGGATACACTTGGAGAAAGGAGGGCCACTTTACTTATTTCATGAGGAGGTCAGAAACCAGGAGTCTAGGAACATGGAGCCAGGGAAGCTCTGAAAACTCTGATGTGCCACACATTGAGGTCAGGTGCTAGGTGGGAACTGATAATGCTAGGAAATCACTCACCTCATGGTGTTTCTAAAGCTGCTCTATGCTGTCTTTTTGTGCACACAGATGATTGAATCTGGATGTTTCCATGACCTCAATGAAGCTGCAGATGAGGGAGATGCGACATCACATAAAAAAGAGAAGATGTGTCCCTCCATTCTCAGACCAAAGAGAAATTTCTTACGTAGAATCTTCAGAAGAGGGGTAAAAAAATCTTTTGTAATAAAAGTCAACTGTTGTGGCTGGGGTTATTGCTTAGGGTAGAACATTTGCATAGTATGAGCAGGGGCTTTGTTTCTGAGAAATGGGTGTGGACATGTATATTTACGCTCCCCTGTATACTTTGTATGTATATGTATCAAAAGGAAAATAATTCTAAGGAAAACAACACTTTCCTTTTTGTTTGTTTGTTTGTTTGTTTGTTTTTTGATACAAGGTTTCTCTGTGCAGCCCTGGCTATCCTGTAGACCGGGCTGGTCTCTAACTCAAACATCTGCCTGCCTCTGCCTCCTGAATCCTGGGATTACTAATGGTGTGTATAGCCACCATCCACCAGTTACTTTTTTCCTTTCTGTAATGCCTCATATAAGAAATTTCAACCTGGGTGTAGCTCACACATAGGAGACTGAGGTACAAGAATCACTGTGAGTTTGAGGCCAGCTTACTACATAGTAAGTTATTGTCAGAAAGAAAGAAGAAAGAGGAGGCGGCGGAGACAGGTAGACAGACAGATACACACACACACACACACACACACACACACACACAGAGAGAGAGAGAGAGAGAGAGCGAGAGAGAGAGAGAGAGAGAGAGAGAGAGCGAGAGAGAGAGAGAGAGAGAGAGAGAGAGCGAGAGAGAGAGAGAGAGAGAGAGAGAGAGAGAGAGAGAGAGATTTCATATAGTTTAAGGGCCATATTGTTCTATTAAAACTTACCCAGAAGAATTTTCACAATGCTGCTTGCTGTTAGTGGAAAGACTTTTCTGATCCACATGACAATGACTTGTTAGCACTGAAGTTGCTTCCTGTTTTGGTGACAAAGCATTTTGACCAAGCTTGGCGTCTGATGGAATTCCCACAAACAGTGCATGTGTGAAGTCCTCCATGTCCTGATTCCAACTACTGCTCTCCCAAGTCCACTTAGTTTCCCTTCTAAAATTGGAAATCCTTTGGAGAGTAGTAGCATTTCTGTAGTAGCATTACTTTTGTTTGTTTTTTTCTCATGTATCCCAGGCTGGTCTTAGCCCCTGAACTCCTGGTCCTCCTGCCTCAGCCTCTTGTGTTCTGGGACTAAAAGTGTGTGCCAACACAACTGACAAGGTTAGAAAATAATTTCGCCAAGTAATACATCTTATGAGTGGATTGTTTTGCTTTGTTCCTATCAAGTTTTTTGGGGGGACGTCTTGTAACTATCATATCTTGAGGAATTTACTAAAAGATTGTTTGCTAGCATTCTAATTTGTATTTTTTTCAATATAGAAAAACAAGACTAATAGTAAAAGTCCCCCAAAGTGGTGGTTGTTATGATCACATTTTCTTTCACAACTAGGGATAGCTATATGAACTGAACAAATCAGTCTACTGCATACAGTTAAATCTTACTGGGCACCCTCCTTACTCAGAGCCTATGTGACATCCACTAGAGAGTGTCCTACAGATAGAATAGAGTTACACTGTTTGGAGCACTTTCTTGTTGATGAAACAGCCAGTGACCCTCATTTGTCTTCTGTACTCATCCAACTATTGAATTTGACTTAGCATGCAACAGTAACAAAGCAGCAAAACTCATCTTGAGGCAGAATCTCAGTAAATAAATTAAGCATATACCCTTAAAATTATTTTTAGCAGTATAGGGATGGAAGTTAGGACCTTGTGGATACCTGGTAAGTACTCTAGCACTAAGCTACATCCCCATACCCTCCACCTTTTATTTTTTAAAACATGTTTGAAACAGGGTCCCACTCACTATGTTTCCTGGACTAGTCTTGAATTTGAGGTCCTCTTGGTTCAGCTTCCTGAGTAGCTGGCAATATATTTAAAAATTCCATTTCTTTGAAGTAAATAAGAAAAATGTATTTAAACATTTTGCTTACCTTGAAATTAGTATCCTTCCAGTTTCTATAACATTATTAGGTATCTTTGGAGATTGGTTCCAAGACGCCAAAGTCTAAAAGTGCTCAGGTCTCTTTTATAAATGGACAGTGTTTATATAAATCACCTCTAGATTGCTTACAATACAGAATACAATATATGAACAGTTGTCATACTATGTTTTTTAACTTATATGGCATTGTCATATGACTTACAATTTTTTCTAAATATTTTTGATTTGGGGTTGGTTGAGTCCATGCTTATGGACCTCATGGCTACTCAAGCAAAGCAAAGCCATCTTGGCATTAGAGATATGGCTGAGGCTGGCCATTGTGCTGTGTGTTGCAGGGCTGCCTGACCACTGGCCACAGTGAGGAGAGGGAGCCAACACAATGATGACCGTTCACTGTGCAGACCACAGAGCAAGACCCTGATGTAAGAAGGAACCTGTCACATACTCAGTGTCTTGTCCTTTCCATGAATTGTAATAAACAGTCTATGACACTGTTTATAATGTGCTTTCATATATTTTTACATTAATATCTGCATTGTCTTTTACTGAAGCTGTATTAAAGAAGCCGCCTGAGAACATCACTGTGTGCCGAGAAGCTCCCAAGTGTGGATGTCTTGTGCATTTGAGTAGTAGTAGTCCTGTCCCTGTATATCTACCCTATACTGTCCAGTTTTCCCTGAACTTTGCTGAGGTTCTTACTGAAATGTGGTGCTGCTTTTTAAATTGTTAATTCAAAACTCTTTCCCAGAATCATAGGTCCTTCCTTTGTTTTAAATCTCCTCTGTCTGCTTTGGTACTCACTCATCTGGGGTAGATTGAAGCCACACATCGTCTTCCTGGGGCTGTGCTACATCATATACAAAGTAAAAAGGTTTTCCCTATGATTCATTGAGGTCTCTTATGCTCTGACTCAAATCCTGTTCTAGCCAGTTCCCTGCTTCCTCATCCTCTTGGACTGTTCCTTACTGAGCTGAATAAGGTTCTTTAGCCTCTACTATTTTCAAATGGATCACATTTTTGTTTCACCCCTGCCACTTGTATTATGATGAGTGCTGTGGAAATCCTGCATCTTGCTTCTTGACATACATCTTGAAGGTCAAATGGAGTTGTAAGTCATGCTGTGAAACATGAAAGAACACTCTGATCTTGATCTTCTAATATGGAAATAACTGGGCTTAAGAAAGAATATAGCTTACCTCCTGGAAGGAATCTTATACTTGATGTAGATCTTATTGGTGAGTATGGCCACCAGTGTTGGCCATGGGGAAGGACCACTCCCTGGTTACAGATTTTGTGACACTCATGGTCCAAGTAAGTCAGTATGAGGTGTGGTGATGCTTCACTGAGGAGTGTTTTACTTCTATATTATTACTTTTAGTGGGATGCAGAATAGGGGATTTTAATCAGGGTTCTCTAGAAAAACACAACTGATAGAATAACTATACATTATAAAGGCGATAGATCAGATTGCATTCACAGTATAGGCTGAAACCTGACAGCTACTTAGTCCTTGAGTCTAGAAGCCTTAATCTCGGTTTGGCACTGAAGGCTTGGAGGACTCCTGGAGAGTTGCTGATCTTCAGTCTGTTAGAAGGCTGAAGAAGCTGGATTCTGATGTCAATGAAGAATGACAGCAATAAGGCAAATTCAGTATTTGAAAAGCAGCCCCACTTTTCCTTCAGATCCCTTTGTATCTATGCTGCCTCTAGAAGGTGCTGCCTATTCTAGGGGAGGGCCTTCCATCCTCAGTTAATCCTTCCAGGAAATACCCTTACAGACCCACCCAAAGATGGGTTTTTTAGTTGATACCAGACCCAATCAAGTTGGCAACAAATATTAATTATTATAAGTTCATCTCTTGTCAACTCAACACCCAATTACACCTTTTTATGTCATGCTTAATTTCCAAGTGAAGATAATAACAAGGTTATAATTCCACTTAACATGATAAAACTGTTGCATGTACAACTGCAAATGCATTATCCTTCCTCCAGAATAGATGGCAAAGTTCCTTGAGGAATGCTTAGTCTTTTAGTATCCCATAACTTAAATATGATAATACAGATTCACAACACAACTACTGATGTTATCTCAACTGATATTACATTGTAAAAAAATAGAAAATACAAATATCTGCTTAATATGTATATTAATATATGTATAGACATTCTTAATAAAATACAGAAACACTCATTGTAATTGCAATCCTTATCTCTTTAAGTGATCATGTAGCCTTAGATGATATTAACTATCTTCTAGTTACTTGTCTTTTTATTGTGACAAAATATTTGACAGAGGCCAGACAGTGATGGCGGATGCCTTTAAATCCCAGCATTCAGGAGGCAGAGACAGGTGGATCTCTATGAGTTCGAAGCTAGCCTGGTATACCAAGAGAGTTCCAGGACAGCTTCCAATGCTACAGAGAAACCCTGTCTTGAAAAACAAACAAAAAACTTGACAGACATAAGGAAGGAAAGGGTTTATTTCGATTTATAGTTCCAGGAGGAAACAGTCTGTCTTGGTGGGAAGTCATGGCAGCAGCAGTAGCAGGAAGCTGACATTGCATCCATAGTTAGGAAGCAGAGTGTAAACAAAATGTGACTAGGCAGTAAAAGCTCAAGACCCCCAGGCAATGACCTCCCTCCCACAAGACTCTGCTTCCTAATGTTTCAACAATATTGTCAGACACAGGGACCAAGTGCTCAAACCTAAGCCTGTTAAGAACGTTTCATAGTCAAACCACAACATTGGGTTAACAGAAGTGTCTTTTGCCTAGGGGAAACAAGCCAACATAGCCTAGGAATTGGAAACAACAGAGCACTGATCAGGATTGTTAGCCTCAGATAAGCAGAGTACACCTCACATGCAAAAAACCTTGCCTGAGGGTGCTTGGTTCTAGAGTAATAGAATGACAGTGACTGCTTGAGTCTGGATCTCTGTACTGCCATCAAAGGCCATATTGGTAACCAAGGGAACAAGTAAAATAACCTCAAATCTTACTCGTAGCGCACCCAGAGGTGTTGGGAACAATGCCTGTATTCTAGGATCATGGTGATGAAAATACACAAGGTGGAGATGAAGGCCTTATTGCTTAAAAGTGTCCTGGGGTACTGGCCCTTCTGGGACACACACACACACACACACACACACACACACACTTGCACGCGTACACGCAAGGAAGTTGAAGAGAAATCCAGGGAACTATAGACCAAGGTCTTCCTTGAACCTGGAGCTGAGAGAGTATCCCTCCATAGGGAATGGGCTCCCAAAGCCCATTTGTGTGCTAGGGATAAATACTGGCTCCACCTCCAGAAGCCCCATAGATTTCCCAGACCCTGCAACTGACACCCACTTTCAGGGGGCCTGGTTCAGTCCTATGCTGGTTCTCCAGCTGTCAGACTGGAGTCAGTGAGCTCCCACTTGTTCAGGTAAGCTGTTTCTATGGGTTTCCCCAGCATGGTCTTGACCCCTTTGCTCATCACTCCTCCCTCTCTACAACTAGATTCCAGGAGATCGGCTAAGTGCTTAGCTGTGAATCTCTGTTTCTGCTTCCATCAGCTACTGGGTGAAGGCTCTAGGGTGGCATTTAAGGCAGTCATCAATCTCATAGGGGAAGGGCATTTAAGGTAGCCTCTCCACTATTGTTTAGATTCTTAGTTGGGGTCATCCTTGTGGATCCCTGGAGATTTCCCTAGTGCCAAATTTCTTGTTAAGCCAATAACAGCTCCCTCTATTAAGGTATATCTTTCCTTGCTCTCCTCTGTTCTTCCCCCAACTCAACCTTACTGATCTCTCATGTTTTCCTCCCTACTTTCCTTCTCCCCTCCTTTTTCTCCTCCCTCCCTGCCCTCCCCTGTGCTCCCAATTTGCTCAGGAGATCTTGTCCCTTTCCCCTTCTCCAGGGGGTCCATGTATGTCTCTCTTAGGGTTCTCCTTATTTCCTAGCTTCTCTGGGGTTGTGGA